CACCACCTAGACTATGACATCCACAAGGAAGGGTGTCGATGGATCTTATGTGTTTTATGCCTGGCACATCCAATGTGGAACAAGAATAAGTGTGCAACACCTGCACTCTGGGACTTCTGGGATGGAGAATTGCTAGATGGAGTACTCCCTGTCCTATCCCCCCACTCAGTTCCTCAATATCCATCTCTTCCTCGTCTCAGTGTGTGACCATTTAGCTCTGTTCTGTTGGTTGGCCTCTGTATGGGGGCTAATGAGGCCAAGGTCAGAGGTTCTATCTTCATATGACCTATTTAGCTTTGTTTGTGTCATGGCCACAAGCTGTATTCTTTTTAGTGGGGCCAGCTGACATAGAAATGCATGCTGTTAATCATAAGGGAGAACAGGCTAGAAGGGGGCAGATTTCTAGAGCAAGAAGGACCCCAAAGAATCTCTCATTCATCCTTATTTCACTTTTTCAGGGGAAGACTGAAGCTCAAACAGGTTCTTCCTTTTTTTCTTGTGTAGCGTCTCAAGGTCAATTCAACACAACAGATATGTACTGAGTAACTTAGAGAAATTGAAATGTATCCCTATAGTGAGGGGTGGACAGCTGAACTCTATGCTTAAATACTGATGGATTGTTAACAACACTTTCCTAACTTTATCATCCCTTTCATATGAATATAAACAATATAGCTAATATTTAAAGAACTTAGAAATCTAGCACAATAAGATTAAGTGGTCTCATGTTTTTGGAAGGGACACATAATCTGATATAATCCATTTGAAAATAATTTTTGGAAATAAAATTTTGTGGGAATTGGTTGGTTCAATCAAAGTCAAATTACTTGTCATCTTCTCCTAACAATATTTACTTCTGACTCTGTATTTCTCTTAAATGAAAAGACCATTATCTTAGTCACCAAGACTCAAATTCATTTTACTTATTCCCTTGAAAATTGCTCTTCTTCTTTCTTCTTTCTTTCCTCCCTTCCTCCTTCCCTTCCGCTCTTCTTCTTCTTCTTCTTCTTCTTCTTCTTCTTCTTCTTCTTCTTCTTCTTCTCTCTTCCTCCCTCCCTCCCTCCCTCCCTCTGCTACCACCCTTGCATGTTACAATAGAAGGGATTTGTAACTACTTGTCCACACATATGTCCTTAGTCTGGCCACTACAGTCCACTTTCATGGTTTTTCATTGCTACTCAAAGCCTAAATTCTATTAATGATGCAGATAAGAGTGGCTATTTCTATAAAGATTTTTCTTTTAGAATGTTTTTTTCTGAAAGTTACTCCTTTTCCATTTAGCAGAGATATGGTTTGTCTGCTTTTCAGATTCACACAACAGGTTCTATGATAGCTCTGGGTTACTGATGAGGAGCCAGAAATCTTAAATGATAGAAGAGGTCTGCTGAAGGTCCAAAAGCAATTACATGGTGGATTTGCAAATAAATTATATTACTGTGTGCTCAGAAATTAATACTAGTTTTTCCATCAAGATATTACAGTCAAATGAGGCATCAACCCTGTGCAGTTCTTCAGTTTAATATTACCGTGTATTCTGTCTTTTATATTTTTTCTTGTTTATGCATTATTTGGTAAATTAGGAAACTTTTGTTGCTATATAGGTGGGTGAGCCTAAAATAGTAGCATGGGTTTTGAAGCTAGCTGACCTTGGTTTGACCTTGTATCTATACTTACAAGCTGTGTAAAACTGGATTCAATCAACCCCAGTTTTCTTGTCTGTGAAATGGGGACAATCATGTACATCTGGAAGTGTGCTGGAGTATAAAATGAAATAAAGTGTGCCAAGCAATTAAGAGTATCTGGCATATTGCAGATGCTCAGTGGATGGTTGATATTATTATCTTTCATGTATGCTGCTATTTTGAGCTTATAGAGCAGTCTCTTCCTTCTGCTTTGCATATAGAAAATTTATTGGGGGCAAGGAAGAATAAATTAATCATGAATTGGAAGATACTTTTGATGAATTTGTTATGCATCTCTAGAGAGTATTTTGATATTTTACCACCTATCACTGGTGGGGGGGTGCGTGCAAATGTAATAGAATGTAAACCTTCTGTGTTTGAATCAATCAGAAAACCTACCATAGGCAAACTTGGCTGTTCAGCACTATTAATCCTCCACCTAATCCCTTTCAAACCACCTAAATTAGAGACTGCATGCAATAAGCATTTCTCTTTGGGTGTCATCTCATGAATTTAATTTAATTTAAAACAGCCTCATAGAGGTGAAGAAGAGAATTGTGGGTTATACCCTGTCTTCCCACTCAGCTCAGGGTTACTTATTTTTTGCTTCTTCAATTATGTTTTAAGTTTCCAAGCTTGTAAGTAGCATCTCAATAACAGAATAGAAAAACACATGTTTGTATTTATCTTATCCTTGTGTGTGTGTGTTGTACACTCAGCACATAATCTTTCTTCCATAAAAAGAGAACTTTTTAAAAAAATCTAGTTTTTCTTCTTTCTATATACAGTTGATTCTTGAAACTATGTGGAGTTTAGGGGTGCTTATCCCTCCATACAGTTGAAAATCCAGTTATAACTTTGATTCCCTAAAGACTTTAATAGACCACTGTTGACTGGAAGCTTTACTGATAACATAAACAATTGATTAACACATTGGTATGTTATATATATTATATACTGTATTCTTACAATGAAGTAGTATAGAGAAAAGAAAATGTTATAAGGAAGAGAAAATGTTATAAGAGAGTCATAAGGAAGAGAAAATATATTTACAGTATTTATTGAAAAAAAGTCACATATAAGTGGCCCTGCTCAGTTCAAACCCATGTTGTTCAAGGGTCAACTGTACGGTCCCAAAAAGTTTGTTTAATCAAATGGTTTGTTTTGCTCAACCCAAGTTGTACAACCAGGCAAGACATTCTCTCAGTGCATGGCTGTGACTCACTCTGATTGATTTCTAGTTAAATCGAACAATACCACAAAATCCATTAGAAATTACTGTCCTAATATCTTAAAGCTCCTAGGAGTCCATACTTTTCCTTGGAATAAGTGGCAGACCCATCTATTTTATATATGAGAAAACTGAGGCTTGGAAGTTAAGTAGCTTGATAAAGGCCACTTATGAAGTGAAAGCTAGGTTGCAAATCTAGGTCCTTCTGACATCAAAGCTCATGCTTGTTCTTCTTACTGTGCTCAGCCACCCTCGCTACACTTGTGTGGGACAGCAGTTTTCAACCCTGTGCCCTGCTAAGCACACCAGTGTGCTGCAAGCATTTGTCAAACATGCAATGCCTGCCTATTTAGTCAGGGTTACTGACCTCTTTTCCCTTAGATTGTCAAATAAAAACAGACAACAGCCAAGTCAACAATAGCTGTCTTGTGTGAATGAATCAAAATTGTACCTACTTTATTTTTCAGATCGGCGAAAAATACAATTTTGTTTTTGGTGTGCCGCAGAATTTTAGTAATTAAATTATGTGTGGCATGAGATGAAAAAGGTTGAAAATCATTGGTGTAGGAGAAAGTCTGCAATCACCTTTTGCTGAGATGAGAAGAAACAGCTGGGCATACACTATTCATACACTATTTGGAGAACTAGATCCATTAGCATAAGTGTCCCTTTGACTAGGCTGCTAGCTTTCCTTGTGGTGCTAGAGTAACCGCTTTATAAGTTTTGTCTTTGAAATGATGGACTTACTTTGGGAATATAGAGGCCAGAGAATAGTAGGAAAGCATGAAGAGAACAAAAGTGAAATCAAAAGAAAAAAAAGCTGTGTCTTGACTTTCTCAAACCGAAGAGAGGAGAATCAAGGTGGCAGCACCGCACGTCCACTTGTTTTCAGGGACCCAAGGCTTCCCTCTGCTCCCGCAGGGCTGGTCTCTCTGTCTGCCAGTGTCGCGGTGTTCCCAGGCCTCCTTGCCAAGCCCCTGGCAGGTAGAGTAAGGAGGGAAGCAGAGGACAGTACCTCCCCTTAAGGAGATTCATTTCTTTTTCATTTTCTGTTCTTAAGAATAGGAAAGGAGCTTCCCTTAGTACCTATGTTTTTTCAGGAAAGAACACTTCTGATAAGATAGAACAGCTGTATTTGCTGTTGAGGACAGAGCAGTGAACTTAGATCAAGGAATTTCTCACAGATTGAGAGGGTCTTTGAACTTGCTGGAGTTTCAGAGGTCATCTAGTCCAGCATTCTGACCAGCACAGGAATGATTTTTATAATAATGCTTTCACACTGTAGGTTGTGACTGACTAGGGCAGGGCACCATGGAATTTCATGGGTGGTGACCATCATTTTAAAAAAGTATAACAGAATAAAAAATGTTGCAGCATGTGTCAGGATGTGAGAGCACCCATTTTTCCTTTAAAGTTGTGATCGATGTGCACGCGCGTTCTTTCAGTGGGTGGCTCTTAAAAGAAAAAGGGTTCCAAATCAGTTACCTCAACCTCTGCTTACCTTCCATTTAGGAGCTCCCCACCTTTAGCGGCAGTGGTGTCTTTGTGTTTGTTCTTATGTGAAATGTTTCCCCTGCACTGATGGTACTAGATATTCACAGCATGAAAATGCTGTTTTCAGTGTGCTCATTGTCCCTTGTCAGTGTGCCCTGGCCCAGCAAAGGCTAGAAGTCCCTTCCTTACCTGAGACTGTATCTAGGTACTTTCACTGCCCTGACCACCCCGCTAGATGCCCCACAGTGAGTATTTGGTACAAGGCAACAAACAAAGTAGCAAAGGAAAAAAATGTGTTAAATGAACTGGCTAGAAAATCATCCTGCCCTGGCTGGTTTGGCTCAGTGGTTGGAGCCTCAGCCTGCGGTCCAGAGAGACCGGGTTCGGTTCCCGCTGGGGGCATGTGCCTCGGTTGCAGTTTGTCCCCGGCCCTGGTTGGGTCGTGTGGGTGGCGGCCACTCGATGTGTCCCTTTCACGTCGATGTTTCTCTCTCTCTCTCTCTTCCTCTCTCTCCCTCCACCTTTATCTGAACAAAAAATGAAAGGATGTCCTCAAGTGAGGATAAAAAAAAAAAAGAAAATCATCCTTACAGGTGGTCTTACTGTGCAGACCTACCCTGAGGCAGAGGATTTCTTGGCCTAGAAGCAATCTTCCAGAAGCCTTCCTGACCCTTTGAGACGAGGTAAGGGTTCCATCTACATTATCCTATTCTTATCTTTGTCACAGTGCTGTGACACTGTGGAGAGGTGGCTTGCTTCTGTCACTGATACATACATGTCCATGTTTTGGTTGCCTGTTTTCCAAAGGTCTCTATAGCAAGACAGTAAGATTCTCAAGAGCAAAGAACATGTTTTATTAATTGTTACAGTTTAGGGCTTGGTGCATTATAGGCACTCAGGAATTGAGTGTTAATGTTTGGGCTATAGAGAATGACTTTTACTGTTCTAAGTGACTTGGATGGAAATTGAAGTCTGTTCACAAAAGACAAAGGATGTGAGTGCTATAAAGCAGTCATGACTTTGCAAATCAAGAGTGACATCCAAATGATACCAAAAGAATTAGGAGATGGTCCAGACTACATGATGACAATCAATAGCTAATGTAAAATTTTTTCATAAGGCAACTAAGCCTTTAGAGACAAACTAGAGCCATTGTAATATAATGAATCCATAATCTTATATTTGTGTGGTGATTTCCACTTTCATATTCTTATTTGGTCCCCCAAATAATCTGGTGATACAGGAAGATAGTGGAATCGCCATTTTTCAGACCAGAAAACTGAGGTTTGGTGTGGTTAATTACCCGCTGAGGGATCAGAGCTGGGGCTGGTATCAGCACAAATGCTGGGATTAAAAGGAGCACACCTAAAGTAGTGCTATTTGAGCTGTACACTTATCTGCCAAGTTGTGAAACCTGCTGTTACAATAACTGACATTTATCATTGTTAGTGTGTGTCTTTCCAGCAACCCTTTGAGGTGGTGGGTGGGTGATCAAATTAAATGCTGTTGTTGGAGAGTGCTGGTATCTCAGGATTGGAAAGAAACTTTTGAAGGGCCAGCTTTTAGTCCAGCAACTCATTGGATGCCTGGCTTCTCAGCCCCTAAATGTCCCTTCCTGGTGGCCACTGTAATTAACGTGTTAGTGAGGTGGCTCATTTAATCATAAATGCTGAAGAAAGTAAGCTGAATATGGCAGGGATTAGAGAAACTGACTGTTCAGCAGTCTGTATAAGGGAGAGGTGATGTTTAGTGTAGGTATGGAGATGAGGTAGAAGCCTGGGTTCTGGTTGGGATTGAGAAGGTGAAGAGTGTGAGGCAAAGGTTTGGATGGTGGCTGCGAGCACTTATTTGGGTTATGGGGCCTGTGGGCCATCCCCCCCTCTTTTCTCATCTCTCACTGCCTCCAAGTCCTGTGTGCTGAAGCCAGCATACCCCTGCTCCCCACAAGCTCTGGCTTCTGTGAGATGAGAAAGTTAGGAGTTTCCAGTAATCCATATACCTTTGACCTTAGACTGATAGGTCAAGTAATGGCTCATAGGGGTTTGAATCTTTTTTGAAAGATATTTATGGCTTGGCCTGGGTTGTCTTGACATTTAAGGATTTGCTAAATATAATTACCTTGCAGACATAGCCATAATGGCCCAATTTACCTAACGCCAGAAGGAAAATAAGCCACATACATGTTTGAGGCTTATTTCTTACCACTCCAACAATGGACTATAGTACAACCAGCTATGTGGTAGACACTGGCCTGTCCCTCAGTTAATGGGATGGCTAGTTGGAGTGCAGTACACTGTGATTTTTAAGAGCCTGACATAGGAAGAGAGAAATTGAGTGTTACAAGATCTCAATTCTACTTTAACTGTGGTGCTGATTGGATTGTGACATTGAGCCACTGAGTCTGGGGACCTTGGTCTAGGCCATTAGGATTCTTTTATGTTATTTCTTTACTGCTGAAATAGTTATATTCCAAATCTAGTTTAAATGTCAGTTCCCCCTCTCATACACGTGCTCATGGAGTTCATTTAGTGAACTCCTAATCATTCTTCAAAACCTAGCTCAAATGTCCCTTTCTCTCATTTGTAAATTCACTCAGTAGTTTTTTATTGAGAGCATACTATGTGTCAGCTTCTGAGGGAATAGCATCAAACAAAACAAAGATCTTGCCTTTGTAACCTTGCCTATATGCCCCCATAACCCTGTATCTGTAATGGAATCTCTTTCCTCTGCAGTCTCTTGTCCAGTGACATGCTCAATTGAATCAAAGAACAAATGATTGCCTCTCTGGTCCTTCCATTTCTGTCTAAGTGAATGGCCTAAATTGTACAACTCTCTTAAAGACACACAGCAGTAGTGTCAGGGATGGCAGAATTGCTATGGAGATTTTCTAGTAGTGTAGCAACTGCCAGAGCTAGTCAGCCTCACATAACATGTAGGAACCTACTGGAAAATTATAGCCTTCCAAAGTCTGATACTCTCCATGCTGATAACCCAGCCTTTGTTGCTGCTGGAATCCAGCATGTGGTGAGGAGGAAGGACATGCACAGTCAGAAGAATCATGGGCCTCAGTAAGAATTCCCACTGACAGGAAGCACATGTGTCTCCTTTCACCTGCACACGGGCAACAGGCATTTCCTGGCCATTGTTTGGGGGGCTGCCGCAGGGCTATTTCTGTCCACCCACAAAACGGGGCTGGAGCTGGCCAGCTTTTACAGACCTGGCCTTGGTGTGCTTCTTGCCCAGGCCAGCGTCACAACCTCTGGGGAGCCAAACCCATCTGACCAAACTGCCTTCCACCCTATTAACTATGAGAAGATGTAGGAAAGAGATTCTCTTATGTAAAAGTAAGTGTGGCAGCACCACCTGCTTTCACACACATGCTCTCAGTCAGGTTCTTGTCCATCCTTTATTTTTGTTTTTTGTTTTGTTTTGTATTTTGTACTGTGACCTGAGGACAGTTTTCTTGGGGAAGTAGCTGCCGGTGAATTCACATACCATGACAAGACTCAGATGCAGACACCGTTGGTGCAGCGATGCAGAATGTTTCCCCGAAATTTACGGAGGACAAATTTGATCCTTAAAAGTTTCATGTGGAAAGGAGAAGTTCAGGGTGGTGCAGTGGATTGGGCATGTATGCTTGATCAGTGTGTCACATGTTTTCTCATTATGAACCTAAAAATTTAAGATCTGTTTTCAACAGCTGGTTGACCTCTCCGGGGTATCTGTCCTTGCTCAGTGTATCATGCTCAAGTATGTCATGGCTCTGTGTTGATTAAAGATCGCGTTCTGCCCTTTTAGAGTAAAATGTATGTCTACAAGATGAAAGCAGGGAAGTATAATGAGATTAAGCTGGGCACTAGTAGTTTCTCTTTTTAGAAATACCAAGTAGTAATTGGCAGCTTCTAAGTCTGTATTTATTTTATCCTTTTTACTTATGCCTGTTGTTTTCAGGTAACTAGGGCAAGGGATGGTGAACACTGTTAATCATGTCATTGCTTAACCACCATTCCAGACTCTTCTACAAGAGGCAGCCATTCAAGGGTGGGGTCCCCCGAATAACTGCCACATCCTGCAGAGCCCCTGCTGCATCCACGCTGTCCACTCAAATAAGATGGAGAGTCACTTCAGGCAGTAATCCCCACCTCTTCGCTCTCTGTGCAGGCACTGTGCTGTGTTCGCAACCAGGGTCTCGTCTAGTCAGGGTGAAGGGAGGAGGTGGTGTCAGACGTGGCTGCAGGGAGAATTGGTGAGTCCTCACAAACACTTTCTGTTGTCCCTTCAGTGTGGGTCCTGCCACGACAACCATCCCAGCAGCTGAGCTTGGATGAGGCTGGTGCATTATGTACAGTGTAGAAGACCTCCTGATTTCTCATGGATACAAGCTGTCAAGAGATCTTCCAGCACCGCACGGGGGTCACTATGAGGGGCGCCAGCCAGCGAAGGCAAGAGCGGGAGTGGGCCATGGCCTGCTGAACGGGTGTGAGGATGGCCCTGCTGCCTTTCCACACAGTAAGGCGCCCCTGGGGACAGGACATGTGTGTGATTCTGAAAAGGACCGCCATGTGCTGAGAGCCCACGGAGAGCCCCAGAGTGCCTCTGCTGCCAGGATGTCTGAGGAGGGGTAAGTGTGCACCCACCATTTTCTTCTGACTTGGGGTTTGGCAGTGGGTATGTAATGAAATCCTCCCACTCCTTGTAATTGACTGGAGCCAGGGGGCAGGGTGGGGGACAGGAATATTGCTATTCATTGGGGTATTGGGATATTCCAGCAGCACTTAGCACAGGGCCGGGCCATAGTAGGCCTTCAATAAACACTGGTGAGGAAACGAATTCTGTCCTACTAAACACTGCATTTCAGTACTCAGCTTCTTTGTTCCCTTGTAATCTTTTGATGTTGCCTCAGCTAGGAATCATTTAAAAACTCTGTAAAGGCTAGTTTATGTCAGGCTCACATTCCTAGTACATTTGGCTTTCTTACTAATATGTTTCAATATTTAGTACTACAGAGTTGAAAGAGGTTTGTGTTCCCCTCCGCTTGTAAAGAACACCCTTCTTCTTGTGTACCCGTATAATTCCACTGGCTCGAGACCCATGTCTCCTCTGCACACACACTGGCCCCAGTGTGGGTCCCCATCTGAATACAGCTGCATCTGTGGGTGTTTGCTTACAACAACAGAAACAGCCGGGTTGGCTGGGGGAACAGGAGGGTTAAAAAAGAGGGAATTTCGGCAGCTTGCCACAGAGCCAGCATGGGAGAGGAACCCTGCAATCTCATCCAAGCTGTTTTGACCTAGAGAAAACCTTTGTCATCACTTCATTAAACTGTCTTTAATGCTGTGTTGGGACCAGGGACCAGGCTCAGACCAGGGAGGAGAGCCCTGCCTATATTGAGCATCCTATAAAACTGTGTAACTGGCAAGAAATGGACCTGTCTTTAAGAGAAACAAACAGACACACAGAAAAGGGAGTGAATTAAGTCTAAAGGGGCTGAACTAACCTTTAATAGTTAGAAGTTGATAGCTTTTAGGCAAAAAATGGGAAGGATTTTGTTCTTATCACTTAGAGCATCTAACACCTTGGTTATTAAGTAAAAACGAAGATGCTCACCCCTCTTCATGCCCAGTGTAGTAAAATTAAGTTTGTGTAGACAAATCAGACCATTTCTCTGGTCGGGGGGAAGAGTTATCACTCTTGATGGAACCAGGTTGAAGGGGGGACCCAGGATGGAAAATAACTTGAAGCTGCTTTCATATAACCTTGCCTTTCACAGATCACACTTGCATCTATGGCTGTCTTGAGCATAAGTCTTTTTTGAGCCATGTTCCCTAAAAAAACACCCTCCATGGACTTTAGAAGTGGTGCTTATGGATGAGTTGGCTGAGAATTAGGCCAGCTTAGTTACTACGACACAAATTTGTGTATCTGTACTTTCCACCTTGTATTTCAGGGTCTTAAGAGCTTGTTATAGTGCTGGGAGTCCAGGGTGTTTCTTGCATGCTCATGGATTCAGTTCATTCTTCCCACCATTGCAGTAGTTATGGAGAAGCAGAAGGCTCAGTTTCTAAGGAGGTACTGACAGTGGCCATGGAATATGTAGGCTGATCTGCATCAGAGATGAGAGTTGGATCCCTGAGTAGGAGGTGATAAAATCCCCTTTAGAATTCTGTGTGGGCAGCTTGCTCGGGACTTTCTAGCCCCTATGTGACAGCAGGTTCCTGAGGACCACAGGGCCTACCAATCTGGCCTCTAGGTGTGTGGGTATTACCAGGTCTGGCAGAAGTCTTTCCTTCTGTCATGAGCAAGGTGCCCAGATGAGTAGCTCTGTGTAACTCTGGATGTCTTCACACAGATGACAGAGATCGTGACAGATCTGGCTTCTTCCCCCAATTCTACAATTGGTTGATTAACTGGAGAGGTGTATAATAGCATTGAGATTGAAGGTTGCCTGGTAAGGTTGAAAGGGAAAATGCATAGTACATACTTGCAGAAATCTATGCCAGTGCCCAAGGCCTCAGAGACTAGCTGAATTGGGTTGTAATGAAATCATGTTTTTTGTTTGTATGTTTGTTTTTAAATAGTTAACAGAGAACTGAAAACAGTAGGTGAACAGAAAGATGGACAGGAGGAGGATTATTTTTTTCTCATCAGATAAAAAGTGCACTTCTGGTCAAGATGGTGGCGTAGGTAAATGCAGTATCGCCTCCTCCCACAACCACATCACAATTACAACAAAACTACAATACAGCCATCATTCAGAACCACCTGAAATTGAGCTGAATGGAAGTCCTACAACTATAAAATTAAAGAAGCCGCCACATTGAGACTGGTAGGAGGGGCGGAGGCTTGCTGGTCCCACACCCATGTGTGGTGGATAAAAATCAGGAGAGACCTCGGCTGGAAAGGTCCTCCCCGAGGAGTGAGGGGTCCTCGTCCTACATCAGTTGCCCAGCTCAAGGTCCCAGTGCCAGAAAGAGAAGTCCCCATAACTTCTGGCTGTAAAATCCAGCAGGAACTGAGGTAAAGGGAGGCTGCAGCTGTGGGAGCCCCAGGCAGTTCCTCTTAAAGGGCCCTGCAAGGACTTACTCAGACTCTCTCCCTCTGAGCTCCAAGGGGAGGCAGCTTGAGGGGAACCAGAGAACAGGAAAGACCTGAGTTGTTTGGCCTCCGGACGAGGCTAGAGGGGCAGCTTTCTCCTGAACCTCTGCTGGTGGAGGCTTTTGTTCCTTTGGTGAACCCTACCCCCACAAGGCAGACAGACTGCCCCTATATCTCGGACTCCAGCAACCTGCCTCACACTGTTGGCCCCGCCCCACCCAACTTTCGGGCCCACCCAAGCTGTTACCATAGGATTGGCCTGTCTTTGATCCTGCTTCAGAGTTTCCTAAAATCTTTCAAACAAGCAGCATCTGGTCTCAGTGAGCCCATACCTCTCGTTAAGTGGCCTCAGGCCTGGCACTAGAAGCAGCCAGCCTTGGTTCACAACTTGGCTTTTCCTGGACACCTCCAAGCCCAGAGCAAGAAGCAGCCATCTGCAGATCACTTTGTAGCTTATGCTGGGCGGTCCTGGATAGAGCACAGGCAGTGGCTGACCTTGCCCCAGAGTCAGCACACCTGGTGGACAGCTTCAGACCACATCTAAACACCACCACCCGACCACTTCCACAGGCGACACACTCAATGAGTGGACTCAGTGGGTACCAGAGCCCTGCTGAAGTAAGTCTTGCTCTGTGCAGTGGGGCCCTGCACAGCTGATCCTCCAAGATAGTCAGAGGCCAGTTGCTAGTGGGTACAGCCAGTCTTTGCAGCTGATCAGCCTGAGTAAATCCCTCCCATTGATGTGCCAACAGCAATCAAGACTCGATTATAACAGAACGGTATACAGTCCACACTAGGGGTGCACCGCGGGGGCCCAGCTGGGGTGATCAGGGAGACTGTGCCACTGGATCCTACAGGATACCTACAATAGTAGGCCACCCTGTGAAGCCTAGGAGGCATAGCTATTCTGCCTAATACATAGAAACAATCACAGGGAAGCAGCCAAAATAAGGAGACACAGAAACATGTCCCAAATGAAAGAAAAGAACAAAACTCCAGGAAAAGAATTAAACAAAATGGAGATAAGCAATCTAACAGATGCAGAGTTCAGAACACAGGTTATAAGGTTGCTCAGGGAACTTGGTGAGACATCCAAGGGACTTAGTGAGACCTTCAAGGAACTTAAGGAGACCTCCGAGGAACATAGTGAGAACATCAACAACATAAAAAAGGGCCAGTCAGAAATTAAGGGTACACTAACTGAAATAAAGACTAATTTACAGGGAATCAATAGTAGAGTAGGTAAAGCCAAGAAGCAAACCATTGATTTCGAATACAAGGAAGCAGAAAACACCCAATCAGAACAACAAAAAGAAAAAAAGAATACAAAAAGCTGAGGATAGTGTAAGCTTCTGGGACAACTTCAAGCATGCCAACATTTGCATCAGAGGGGTGCCTAAAAGGAGAAGAGAGAGAGCAAGAAATTGAAAACGTATTTGAAAAAAATGACAGAAAACGTCCCTAACTTGGTGAAGGAAACAGACATACAAGTCCAGGAGGCACAGAGAATCCCAAAAAGTTGAACCCAAAGAGGTCCACACCAAGACACATCATCATCAAAATGGCAAAGGTTAAATACAAAGAGAGGATCTTCAAAGCAGTGAAAGAAAAGCCGCCCGTTACCTACAAAGGAGCTCCCACAAGACTGTCAGCTGATTTCTCAAAAGAAACTGTGCAGGCCAGAAAAAAGTGGCAAGAGATATTCAAGGTGATGAAAAGCAATGACCTACAACCAAGATTACTCTATGCTGTAAAGCTATCATTTAGAATCGATGGCCATATCAAGAGTTTCCCAGACAAGAAAAAGCTAAAGGAATTCATCACCACCAAACCAGTATTATATGAAATGTTGAAGGGTCTTCTTGAAGGCAAAGAAGAACAAAAATATGAACAATAAAATGGCAATTAATACATATCTATCAACAGCTGAATCTGCAAACAAAATGAGCAAGCAGAACAGCAACAGACTCATAGAGAACTTCTTGTTGCTTGCCAGATGGGTGGAGTCTGGGGGGCTGGGTAAAAAAGATGAAGTAATTAAGAAGTACAAATTGGTTGTTAGACAGATGAACCTCAAAGGGAAAGGGGGAGGGAGGGTGGGATGAGATAAACCAAAGAACTTCCATGCATATATGCATAACCAATGGACACTGACAATAGTGTGGGGAAGGCAGGAGGGGGAGGGATTGGGCAGGAGGGGGTCAATGGGGAAAAAAGGGAGAAACATCTATAATACATTCAACTATAAAGATGAGTTTAAAAAAAGAAAAAAAGTGTTTTGAGAACAAATAAATAGGTGCTAATAGTTAACAGTTTAAAAATTAAAAATAAGAAAGAGGGAAAATTAAACCAATAATACTTTGGCTTCTGTACATTCTTAATCTGGATAAATAAATGGTACCAGGAAGATCCCAGCTGTCAGTCACTGGATGAATGTAGTGATGGTCCTGCAGCCTTGCCTGGCCCACAGTGACCCTGCTGGGCTGCCTCTGGGTCTGTATAGGGAAGATGAGGCCCAGGATGGAT